TAAACTATTAGACCTAGATACCAACGAGGAACAACTGTCTAAATATGTTTCCGGCTTACACCGCGAAGGCTACGAGGGCACCCGATGCATCTTTGAGTGCTACAAAAAGTAAGACACCCTGGGCCTGGTGATGGAACCCTGGGCCTGGTGGTGGAACTCTGGGCCTGGTGGTGGAACCTAGGACCTGGTGGTGGAACCTAGGACCTGGTGGTGGAACCTAGGACCTAGTGGAACGTAGCGATAGGACCTGAACCAGGCTTTTTTGGTGTGTCGTTTTGGTCGGTGTGTCGTTTTGGTCGGCGTGTCGTTTTGGTCGGCGTGTCGTTTTGGTCGTTTAAAAATCATGAAGGGTTTCGTGTGTGAGGCGGGGAGAGGGAGGAGGGAGTTATTGTTCGCATCATTATTGGTGGATGGTGTGCGATCGAGTACAGAAGGTTGTGTTGCACGGATGGTAACGATTGGTGTTGATAATGGAGGGGAGCGACAGGCAGTGAAGGTAGCGGTGATAGCGCCGTTGGCGAAGTTTGAAGCAGCTCGCTTTCATCCTTGCAAGTTGGACTGGTTATTGGATTCGAACCGGCTTCATCTATATCGAGAGACACCTGGGTCGCGACGTGCCGAAAGGTTAATAGGACGGTGTTTAGAACAGCACTTGGAGTTTGAAAACATACGGGTGGCAAACGAGGTTTGTGACGAGGCGTTTGGTTGCACCCTTGCCCAACTGTCACGCGACATTTCTGACCAGCAAAGCGAAGAGGATGCTTGCTATGATCCCTGGTGTCAGCCTCAGACTCTTGGTATCCGCCGCCTGACGAAGAACGAACGAAATCACCTTCTCGAACACAGGTCGGAGGAGTGGCGTCGTGTTATCAACCACTCCGCCGACCTGGAAGCCTGGCGCGGACGCCGCATTCCCGAGTGTGCCCCGTCTAGCCATTGTGAGGCTAGCTGCATATCTTGTTGTCTGCCCTCCTCCGCCGCTAAATCCTGCTGCACGCCTACCTGTTGCCTCGGCGTCACACTCGGTGCCACTGCCTTCACGGTCGCCGCAATGGGCGCCTGGTGGCTCTACAACTCGGGCACCCTCGACCATATCTTCGGCAGCTCCACTTCCGATAACCTCCATTCCGGTGACCGCCGTGACGGCTTCAACGGAAGCGTCAGCTTGAACGGAAGCGTCAGCTTGAACGGAAGCGTCAGCTTGAACGGAAGCGTTGGCTTCGACGCCGCCGGAAGCGGTTTGGACATCGTCATTTCGTTAGGCGAGCTGAGTAAACTTCGGGTCGCCCAAGACGTGTGTGCCCTACTGTTGAACGACACGGCTCTCCGGCGCGCCCCGCTGGCCTTATCTCACTCCTGGCGCCAGGCGCCTTGGTGCAATGGCTACTCGGGCAGGCTCGTTTGTGGTTCGACCACGACTCTGGCGGAGTTGACCGCGAAAGCTTCGGCCGCCACGTCCAACGCCGTGCCCCGAGGTTTGTCGTGCTACAACTTCCGGTCGCCGTCCAAATACGACCTGCCAACCGTGTGGGAGGCGGTGGTGCGCCACGACGCACCAGAACGGTGTACCGTCGCCTGCGATACGCTCTCCAGCAGCTACCAACGCATGGGGCGGTACCTGGCGAAAAAGTTCGGCATTCCGACCAAAGACATCGACATGAAAAAAATAGATGAAGAAGTCTTAGGGCAATTTGCGCACAACCACAAGTGCTCCCACTCACACCTGGCCCACCTCATCAAGCCGGAGCCGCAATGCAACTGCACCATTGGTATCCTCGACTGTTACGCCCGCTACCGGGGCGGCCTGGAAATCAGGTGGGGGAGGCTCATTGACTTCGAAACAAACGAAGAACAACTCTCCAAACACGTCTCTGGCTTCCACCGCCAAGGGTACAAGATTAACCGTTGCAGCTTTGAGTGCTTCGAAAAGTGAGACACCTCCGGCTGCGTGCAAGCGCGCCGTCGAGAAACAGATTGTGCAGAATTTTTGCTGAGTGGTGATTCTAACACTGGGGGTGGGTATACTAGGAGAGTGGGA